GGCAATGCTATATGTACACCCCCTTTTAATAAATTACACAAAGAAAAGTGCTATATGTACACCCCTTTTTTACACTTGAGGGGGTGTACATATAGACACCCCCATAATATAAATGGTGTGTACCTTTATTCCTCTACTTTTCTCTGTACATTAATATATTTTGCCAAATTAATTTATGGTTTGGTTTGTTGAATTATGTGTCCATGAAATTTGTATAAGTAGATTTTGTAATCGGTTGGTCTTTTGTTAGGTGAACTTGCCATTAGACTAATTAATATGTATTTTTTAATGATCATATTTTTATTAGAAAATGTCATGATTTAACATAATTTTATTCAACTGAATAAGAATGCATTTTTGTTCAAATAGTATGACGAGGCGGCTAGTCCAACTATCAGGCCGTCTCACACAAAAATTTATGTTTATGTTTTGTATTTGGTAAAATATAATGAGAAAAGTAACGTATGATTTATCATGAATCTATATATATATATATATATTTATATATAATTGCTAGCATGTAGCATTAAATAAAACCTATTTAATAAAACTTCTAAAATTTTTCCTCCATTTCCAGTTACAAAATTTATCATTAATATTTTTTACTTCTCACATTAATACACCATATTGATTGTAATCATGTATGTTTATATTATTATATAATAGTTATTGCTAATACCAGCTAATTATAATTCACAATAAATATAAATTACATAATTATAAATAATTGTTTACAGTTACATAATTATATTATTTATTTTAACATCAATATTATCTTTTTCTTTTGTATCTCATTATTTTTTTTTAAAAAAAAAAATAGTAAATTGTTTTAATGGCATAGTCAAACAACTTTAGAATCTCGTATACAATTGTTTTTTTAATAATAATAATAATAATAATAATAATAATAATAATAATAATAATAATAATAATAATCTAAATATATATAATTGTTGGTTCATGAGTATTTAATAAAACCTATTAAATTCTACTTATGTGGCAATATAATTTTTTCTCTCAAAAACCGTTGCTTTTTATTTATTTAACCTCTTATTTAATTATTAGATAATGAACACACTAATCACTTTAAAATTATAAAAATTATTTTAAATTTTTGATTTACTTACAGCTGACCATATAATGTGTTGACTATTTAACGTGATTAGATGTTATTGTTGTGGTTATATTTAAATTAACTTCCTTTGGAATATAAAAAATGTATTTGAAATTCCTAAATAAATAATAATAAATAATTAAAAAAAAAGATACATACCAAAATATAAATTACATCCAATATGATAAACACAATATTATAAAAATAAATATTTCAGCTCATTTAATTGTAAATTTGGCAAAAATCATTAACTATTATATGCATACGAATGTTCGCAAAATATTTTTACTACCCGCAAGTGTACGGAGTAGCTGCAGAAAGCGGCGAGCAAGGTCGTATTCCACAGAGACTGTTGTAAAACTAATTAAGTACCAAAATATAGACGATTAAATATTATCTAGACAAATGCAAATTTGATTGTAGTCTTTATTCTAAACTAATGAATGAATGCAAAAATAAATTCTAACACTAATGAAGGCTTATTCTAAATAAATCAAGTATGAGAAAATAGATTCTAGGCTATGCTTTCCTCGGGATTATTCTGGCAAAGTTTTCTTATTCATTCAAACCTTAATTAATTCTACCAGTCGTAGGGATAATCGCTAAAGTGATTTCAACCTTTCTCTCGAACAAGCAAATCGTAGATATTAATTGCTATCTATCTCCTCTCGGTCTCAAGATGAACAACTAACTCCCATAAACTCCTAAGATTCTAGTTCCCTCGCAAGATCCTATCAACCTCTCGGTCTGTTTAGTCTCTTACGTTATGAATTTCCCAATTTTAGCAATCAATTATCTCCTCTCGGTCTCAAATCAATTACAAGTATGCATTCATAGCGGCCGTCTACTCACACAATAATAATAAGCACAAGAAATTGGTAAACAAAAGATAGACCGGAATGAATAAACAAAATCACTTCATAAAATAATCCGAGTACTCGCAAATCCTAGAATCTCAAAGAGATTTAGCTACTAAACATATTCTCAATATTCAAAATAAATAAATCCATGAGTTCAATTAAGAAGAAAAAGAGAAAAGAAAGAAGAACTATTGTTTCCGTTAGTTCCCGGATCTTCAATCTTGACTTCCTCGAATTCCTCGTGTGTTTCGTGCTTTCCCTAGGCCTCCAATGGTGTCAAAAGTCCCAGAACCGTGTTCTTTATGTTCTTTATATAGTGTAGGGTAAATATGGCTTGAAAAAGGGACAAAATCGCGTAGGAATCCTATTTTCCGCTGGTCTCTCTGCGCGTCACACGACCCGTGTCACATGCCACACGAG